TAACCGTTACGGACTCATTTCACAGTTGACTCACTTCATGTTCAACAGCTCCCAAGCAACTAAAGCACCCCTCTCCTTCCCCCTTTGCTCCAATCTTCGATTCCCTTAGGGTTTGAGTGAAAGGAGAGTGGATTAAGTGAGAGCATCACTTTGGAAAGTTTGAGCACTTGATTTCTTCGTCAAGCCGGTTGATTTTGCGTCTATTACTCTTGGGGCTTTGCCCCTAGCCGGCTAGGCGTTGCCCTAGAGCTTCCATCTTGTGGAAGAGCCTTGGGAAGTTTGTATCACCCTTCGATTTCTTAGTGGAAAGCTCAAGTGACCTTTGTGGTCGCTTTGAGAGAGGCAAGGAGGTGAAAAGACTCCGACCTTGGTGGTCACCTCAACAACGAGGACGTAGGAGCTCCTTAGTGGGGTTGCCGAACCTCGGGATAAATCCTTGTGTCCCATGTGCTTGTTGTTGTGATTGCTAGAGATTATTTTTATGTGTTTGTCTCTTTCTCTCCCAAACTTCTATTTTAGGGTTTGGACTCGATCTACCATTTGGAGGCATTACGACGTCAAGGGAGTGACTCAACATCTTCACCAAATCACTAGGAGTGAGGTTGTAAGTTTATTTATCCGCAAAGTTAAATTTGGCACTGCTTTGTAGTTCACGTAGGAGTCGGAACTGCTGACGTTTGCGCCGGAACTTCTGACAACGTTGGAAGTTCCGACCCAAACGTCGGGACTTGCGACAGAGACTGACAGAATTGAACTTAGCATTTGCAGTAATTTTTTAGATACGCCTATTCATCCCTCCTCTAGGCATTGTTAGATCCTTTCACGGGTGGACCCCACTTGTCAGTGAAAGAAGAGGAGGAGGTTGTGGCGCTGCTGGGCTTTGTTGGCGGGCTGGGCCGATGACGGCCCAGGCGGAAGGGGAAAGAGGGGAAGGGGTTGGCCGTGGGCCGGTGCTGGGCTGGGCCCATTCGGGAGAGGGGGAGTACACAGGATATCTTTTATATTTTCCATTTCCCAGAAAAGTAAAGAATACTATTATACTTGTATGCATGATGTACTATATACGTTCTAAATATTATATCCACTCTGTTATATTAGAAATTAAGGTAATGGCCTTATATTCCTATGTTTCTAATGTATATAAATTTGCTAAATGTAAATTGGGAGGAATTTTGAAAAGAACTAAACCTATAATTTGTGGCTGGCCTCGGCCAAGCCAAGGCAGGCTCGGCCGACCCGGCACGGCGGCGTGGCGCGCAGGACGCGGCCATGTGCGCTACGCTGGGTGGCCACACGTACAGCACCAGGCAGTCCGAGGCTGTGTCGTGCACGAATTTTAAAGCGTCGATAAAAACTAAACTATTGAAGTTGAAATTAAACCGTCTTCACTATCCTAAAGAGAGCCTATTAGGCTACCAACCAGAGCTAAAACATGACATCACCTCTTAACTCAATTTCACATGATTAATTGCCAAACATAATGCTGTCAAACTGTCTTTAGACTTGAGGAATTCTATCTTGAGCTGGATTCAATTTTAAGTTCCATTTCTAAGCTATTAGAAATACTAACTAGCAATGTTATTATTCTACAACAAGAGTTGCATTGTCATCTACAAAGTTTGTACTTCAAACTTTATTTAGGTGTCACACACATGTTCTATAATATTTTTGCTCAATAAAAATTGGTTTTCAACCCTACTTGACATAACATGAGCTATCGAATCAATTTTCATTTAACATTTTTACTATTTGTTTTAGGTTATAAGAAATTTATCTACACACTCTATCACATGTATTATCACATAAACATAATGTTCATGACATAATTTACTAGTTTGTTTTGGGCGTAACACAGAAGGTGTTACAACGGAGGTGTTACATAATCTGAGTGATTTTAAGTCCGGTTTCACTCGAATTCTAGTTCTAGTTATTTTTGAATGATTTGCCCTTAAGGATTACTCGTGTGACTATAGGGCCTCAATCACTCAGATTTTGTTTTTTTTTCTATTTGTGTGATTTGTTCGCCTAAATTGCTTGAGGTGTGATCAGAGAGGATAGATCACTTGAGTTCCAAATAGACATATCCTTTTTTTTATTACTGTAGATAGCAAAATCGAGCCCAACTCTATGGATAGCCTAATGCATAATGATGGATACACCGTCATACGGTTTTTTTACATCCCCACCATACGGAGGAGAATAGTCTGGAGAGGGTCGTTTTTGTCTGCGGGTGCTGGGTTGACCAAATGGTGTCCTGTATCCGTTTGACTCGAGCAAGGAGCGCATTTATTGGACATGCAGTCATGTTGAATGAGCATTGTGCATTCATCATTTTGAAAATGTTTGATGATCCGCACTGGTGAAATAATTATTTTCATCCCTTAGTTATTACTCTGCACTATCGAAATGGTTATTTCATTAATCAAATTTTACTTTTAGGCTCAATTTAGTACGTGAACAATCAAAGTGGCCATTTCAGTCTCAACTCGTATCTTTTTGGCTTGTTTTTTCATCTTAAACTATCGTATTGTCCATTTCAGTCCTCAAACATTTTCAGTGGGCTTAATCTTGTCCCTTATCATATATGACATTGCCATATTGTCGGACCTAATCAACTTTGACACCACCCACGAGCGTAGGTGGACGATAATCGTCGAGAGGGCTACGGTTCATGCCATGCCGAAGCGATTGTGATGCATCGAAAACATGGTCAGGTCCGATGCACATGGTGGATGTCCACGTAGTGCTATTGCGCAGTCATCAAATGCACCAGAGGCGACGCGATCTGCTGCTACGCAAAGGACCTGTTCGCTTGTCTTATAATCTGTACTTTTCGACTTGTCTTTTTAATTGAAACAGTGTTTTTTTCTCACAACAAATCAGCCGGAACAGTATTTCTTCTTGTTTTTTCAGCGAAGCGAACAGGGCCAGGAGCACATAACAATGCTTACCTTAAAAGCCGGCTTATTTGACTTGTTTTTTCAGCCGGAGCAGTGTTTTTCTCTCACACCATTTCAGCTTTGGCTTGTTTTTTCAACCAATTTTAGCTAAGCGAACTGGGGCCAATGATGGGTGATGACCTCACACAACCATGGACATCATGTCTCTTTCCGAGAATGACCGCTTGTCTCCGGCCACGAGTGGTGCTAGAGCTGATAGGCGACAACGTCTCATGTCACATGAGATGCCCATGAGGGGCGAAGTTGAGCCCAAAAGAAGAAAAATGAGGATTGAAACTAGCTACTTAGATATTTTAGGGACAAAAGCTAATGTTTTTTTTGTTTGGTTTGGTGTCCTCGCATGCCATGGTCAAAGTACAGCACCATGAAGCTCTATTTGATTCCTGGCGCGTACTTGGTTTGCTAAAAGCGCAGCATAGACTTGTTTTTGTTCGCCGAGCTTGCAGTGCAAGGAGACCTGAATATAACCCCACAACATGCGGCATAAGCAAAACACATGTCCTATCTAAGTCAAAAAGAAAAGTTTGAGAAATGAAACAACTTTTTTAATAGTTCAGTGATGAAACCGAGTTCAAAAATGAAGTTGATGATTGAAATAACTAATATAATCATAGTTCAATGACAAAATTAGATTCTGTCACAGTCTAGTTGTTAGACTGACTCCAACAAAGCTATCCAAACCCAAAAATAAGTCTCGCACAGTGCTTTGCCTATCAGATTACCGGCTCCAACAGATCACCCATTCATACGACACATTTTGGCTACCGGCGCAAAGGAAACGCAAAAAAGCGTCGCCTCTCTCCTGGCTATGCAAATCTCCGATGGTGGCCTGCCCGCGCACGCCTCCGCCTCTCACCCGCGCACGCCTCCGCACCGCCGAGGTGCCCCGCTCGCCGCCGCGTCGGAGGAAGCGCTGGTGCCCAGGCCTGACCCCGCGACTCACCCGCGCGAGGGCGCGCGCGCATGCGCGGCATGGCCGCCGCCGCCGCCGCCGCCCGCGTCGAGCGCCGCCACTGTCCCCACTGTCCGCCATGGAAGGCACCTGGCGGCCGACGCGAGTGGTGAAGAAGAGCTCGATTTGGGGACGGGAAAGCTCGATTCGGCGGTGGGGAAAGTCGATTCGGAGGCGGGGAAGCTCGAATCGGGCGCCGGGAGGCTCGATTTGGGCTTCTGCGAGCTGGAGAAGAAGGTCGGCGGAGGTCGTGCTTGCCGGCTTGCTCGTGCTCGTGCTTGTCGGCGTGCGCGTGAAGGCCGGTGTGCTTGTGCTTGCCCGCCGTTGCTCGTCTGCTGCTAGTGCTTGCCGGCGTGCTCGTGCTTGCTAACGGAGGTTGTGTGCTCCTGCGTGCTCGTGAAGGCCAGCGTGCTCCTGCGTGCTCGTGCTTGCCGGTGGAGGCTCCTGCGTGCTTGTGCTTGCCGGCGGAGGCTCCTGCGTGCTCGCGTGCGTGTTTGCGGTGGAGGTCGCGGCGGGGGATCGCTACTTTTGCATACGCTGTTGGAGGAGACCTGTTCTGGGTGTCGGACTCGGGCTACTGTGCATGACCTAAATCGGTGAATAGGTCTCGGTTTGGATACGTGTCGTTGGAGACGGTCTTAGAGGGATAAAAATGACTATTATGTTGTTTGCGGTTTGGACCTTGGAGTAGACTAGAAATCAATAAATGTGGCCGCTCAACCTCAACAAACAACATATTATAATATATATTATTATAAATATAATGATACTGACTATTATTGTTCCCTGCCTCCCTCCAATATTTATATGAATGAATGAATATTTTTAAAAAGAAAAATATTGGTTCCACTTGCCGAGGCAGGATAGGGGGGAGCGAGCCCCTCACAGCAAGCAGCAAAGTCAACGCTCTCCGCCCGCTCGCGCCTGGCGCCTGCGTTCCCTTTCCTTCCGCTCATCGCCTTCCTCCCTATCGTCAACCGCAATCACCCCGGCCGCCAGCAGCCAAGAAAGCTTCCAGCTTTCAGGCAGCAGCAGCTCCATCCATCGCCTCCGGACTCCGGTCCCATGCGCAAACGCGCGCCCCACCCATGTCCATGGCGCCGCCTCTCTTCCTCCGCCTCTCCCGCCTGATCCTCCTCCTCTCGGTCTCGCTGTCGGTGGCCATCGCGGCCGCAGACGCCCGCGCCGTGCCCGTCGAGTACCCATACCCGACCTTCAACCTCACCTACATCCACTTCATCGACACCGACGACGTCTTCCTCCACTCCCCCTAGCGCCAACTTCTCCGCCGCCATCTACAACGCCGCCGGCGCCGGAGTCGGCCAGTCCTTCGACGACTACCAGTCTCGCTTCTTCTTCTCCATCCTGCACACCAACTCACGGACGCCCGTCTGGACCGCCACTGCCACCAGCTCAACCATGTTCAACTCCATCGTCCTCGCCCTCGCCCCCACCGGGCTCGCTCTCTACGACCCCTCCGCCGCCAAGCCCGACGACCCCGCCTGGTCCACGCCGCGCCTCCGCGAACCCGTCGCCGCGCTGCGCCTCCTCGACACCGGCGAGCTCGCGCTCATCGACAGCCGAAACACCACGCTCTGGTCCTCCTTCGACCGCCCCACCGACACGCTGCTCCCGGGACAGCCGCTCCTCCTCGGGAGCCCGCTCACGTCCTCCGCGTCCGACCACGACCTCTCCCCCGGCGTCTACCGCCTTGTCCTCACACCCAACGACGCGCTCCTCCAGTGGGCCACCAACGCCTCCTCCTCCGCCTTCCTCACCTACTGGTCCATGTCCTCCGACCCCGCCGCCTTGCAAGACTCCAACCAAGCCGTCGCCTCCATGGCCGTCAACTCCTCCGGCCTCTACCTCTTCGCGGCCAACGGCAGGGACACCGTCTACAGGCTCCACTTCCCTTCGCCGCCGGCGTCGAAGGCCGAGTCGCGCATCCTCAAGCTCTACCCTTCCGGCCGCCTGCGCGCGGTCGCCCTCACCGCTGCCGCCACCGTCCCCACCGTCTGGGCCGCGCCGGCCAACGACTGCGACCTCCCGCTGCCGTGCCCGTCCCTCAGCCTCTGCACACCGGACGCCAACGGGTCCACCTGCACCTGCCCCGACGCCTTCAGCACCTACTCCGACGGCGGCTGCGAGCCGGCCGACGGCTCCGCGCTGCCAGCCATCGCCGACACCTGCGCCAAACAAGAGGCAACAACGACGCGCTACAGCTACGTCAGCCTCGGCGCCGGGATCGGCTACCCGCCCACCAAGTTCGCGGTAGCCGATACCTCCGGCGACGAGCTCCCGGCGTGCCGCGACCTCTGCTCCGCCAACTGCTCCTGCCTCGGCTTCTTCTACAAGAACACCTCTAGGTCCTGCTTCCTCCTGCGCAACCGGATCGGTTCCGTCTTCCGTGCCGGCGCCGACGTCGCCATCGGCTTTATCAAGACGCTCCCGTCACCGCAGCAGCAGCAGCAGCAGCAGCGCGGCAATAAAGGCTCCTCGTCGTCCTTGAGCCTGATAACCATCGTGTTCGGCATCGTGTTCCCCACCGTGGCGGCCGCGCTCATCTCCTTCCTGCTCTACGCCATGCTCAGGAGGCGCCGGCCGCAGCACCTCAAGAAGAAGAGCAGCAGCAGCTGGTTAAAGCTGACGGCGATGCTCTCGTCGTCGCGGGCGGCGTCCTCCGCCCCGTCGGACAGCGAGGACCTGGACGAGGACGTGCTCATCCCCGGCCTGCCGACCCGGTTCACTTACGCCGACCTGGACGCCTCGACGGACGGCTTCAGGTGGCAGATCGGCTCCGGCGGGTTCGGCTCCGTGTTCCGCGGCGAGCTCCCCGACCGGAGCACCGTAGCGGTGAAGCGGATGAACGGGCTGGGCACGCAAGGCCGGCGCGAGTTCCTGACGGAGATCGCCGTGATCGGCAACGTCCACCACGTGAACCTGGTGAAGCTCCGCGGGTTCTGCGCCGAGGGCGCGGGGCGGCAGCTGCTGGTGTACGAGTACATGAACCGGGGCTCCCTGGACCAGACGCTCTTCCGCATTGGCACGCTGGAGCTGGAGTGGGCGGCCCGGCTGCGCGTGTGCGTGGGCGCGGCGCGCGGGCTGGCGTACCTCCACGCCGGGTGCGATCGCAAGATCCTGCACTGCGACGTGAAGCCGGAGAACATCCTTCTGGACGACCACGGCGGCGTGAAGATCGCCGACTTCGGGCTGGCAAAGCTGATGAGCCCAGAGCAGTCGGGGCTGTTCACGACGATGCGCGGCACGCGCGGGTACCTGGCGCCGGAGTGGCTCATGAACGCGCCCATCACCGACAAGGCGGACGTGTACAGCTTCGGCATGGTGCTGCTGGAGATCGTGCGCGGGAGGAAGAACTCAAAGAAGCAGTGGGAGGAGGAGCAGCATCAGATGGCGAGCGGGTCCAGCGCGTCGTCGTCGTCGGATCGGGACGACACCGGCGGCTACTTCCCGGCGCTGGCGCTGGAGCTGCACGAGCAGGGGCGGTACGAGGAGCTGGTGGACCCGAGGCTGGAGGGGCGCGCGGACGTGGCGCAGGTGGAGCGTGTGGTGCGGGTGGCGCTCTGCTGCCTCCACGAGGACGCCGCGCTGCGGCCCAGCATGACGGTGGTGTCCGCCATGCTCGACGGCAGCATGGAGGCGGGCGAGCCCCGGGCGGAGCTCCTCCGGTACCTTAGGATGTACGGGCGCGGGTTGGTGGACCTGCGGCCCGCCGCTGCTGGGTGGATGGACCAAGGGAAGGCCAAGGACGCCGGCGGCGGCGTCAGCAGCAGCTGGTCGCCGCCGTCGTGCGTGTCGGCGCAGCAGCTCTCGGGCCCCAGATGACGGGACTGTCATTGTCTGTCTCACACCGTACAAATCGACCAGTGGCGTAGCTTTTCTCTTCTTTTTGTTTTTGGAGCCAAGATGATTTGAGCAGCTCTTGCTCTTCCATTCCATTCCCTCCGTTGGGAATCAATCTCTTTTTAGTAACCCCCAAAAAATATTTAGATAGCAGTACAACTTATTGGCACTTTTCCTTTTTATTACATATATTCCCCTTTTTTTGAATGACAGGGCAAAAAAGAGAGAGAAACCCTCTAATATCTAACCTATTTTCAAAAATCTCTGCGATTGAATTGAGTTTGCCACGACATACACATGTGCAGCCAAACATTTATGAAAAGAAATCAACATTCTAGTCATGCTTCAATTGTGCACAAGTAACACTGCCAAAGTGATCAGCATTAGCAGTTTAATACATACAGTAGCTATTCCGATCCTGATTTTGCCACCAATTGCATGCAGCGCTGACTGAAAAGAACTGAAATGCTTGGCAGACAGACACGAGATAAGAGATGGCTCCCGGATCCAGCCCTCTTGCTCTTGTATTGGTTTTTGGTTAACCCAGTATATACTCCTACCTGCTGACCATATGCTCGTTAATTGACACCCAAGCTGCATTGCAATCACGGCGCGCTCACCTCGGATTGATTCCCTTACTTCCTCCGAGGTTGCATCTACAAGCTACTGCTCCCCTTCGCCAACCTAGTACAATACAATAAACAAATAGTGGAGCTCATCAGAAACAAAAGCAATGTATATGAAACTTCACGGAACAAGGGAATGTTTATTTTAATTCATGTTCAACGCTTCAGCAGTTCTAAATCCGCAATTGGACCGTCAGAATGTACTACATCTGTACAAATCATCTGGTCCTAGTATTTTTTTATAATAATCTAAAATCACCAAGCATAACAACTGGAGTGTATAACTAATAGCAGGGTTCCTAATAGATCATCTACAGACACCAAAGTTTTTTTTTCCCCTTCTGAATCTGGTTCATTGGATTGGATAAAGGTGTCAATGAAATGTTAACAATGTTGCTGGTGGATAAAGGTGTCAATGAAATGTTAACAATGTTGCTGGAAAGAACTATCATTAATTCTAATTGTCTAGAAAAAGGAAAAAAAACAAGTCGACAAATGACACAATGAGAGTCCATATCCTTTGTCTTAGTAAAGAATTCTGGAATAAAAACAAGAAGACGACCTCAAGAAAAAGATCTGCAATTGGTTAGGTCACCACTCACCAGCATAGTTGTTAGCTTAAATCACCTATGCTTCTCGAAGTGGGATCTTTGCTTAAACCAGGGAATTTAAGAACGGTCAAACAGCTGCTGGCAGGTAGGCAATCCAGCACAAGCCAGCAGGATCCTTGTTTCCGGCCGAGATCTCAAACCATGCCTACAACTACTCTGTTGCTATGACATATGGAGCAACTAGGATTATTATTCATTTAAGGCTGAAACTATAAACAACTGTTTCTTAGCTCACAACTACAATCAGCATGCTCCACAGTCCACACGTCAATTGATCCTTTTTTACCACCCAGTAAGCATATTTCGAGTGCAACAGAGAGCTCAGTAGGCAATTAATCAGATCCTCTACTGCAGAAGAAAAAAAATCAAACTAACGGAATTGTATCAAGCATGAGAAATGATATAAAACATTCAGAAAGAATACGGAATTCTGAGGTTTAGACAGCTGGCTTTGTGACTCTGCCCCTATTTGTTAGTGCTGTTGACAAGAGGTGATGATGTCGTAGATCGATTGGCTAGGGTAAGCATAATCTTCAGGTAAACCTGGTCAAGAAGGAGGCTCTGAGTGACCTAATTAAGTGGATTATATTTCCCCCTTACTTTCCTAATCTCATTGGCTGCCCTTTTATTTTTATAGACCAAGTGCCTACGAACAGATTAACTAGTCAAACATATTCCTAAGCTGCTGCTGCCAAATTGGTTGGTGGCTTTATTCCAGGATGGTTCCACTGGCCATATATAACAAGTGAAGATGTATACCAAAAATACAAGCAGTTTACAGTCTGCTAGTTAAGTATACCTGGTGGTTACAAGATTAGTGCGTGAATAGTTTTACTAAAAGAATTTCTGCAAAGTGGGGGTGGGAAACGAACCACATGGTCAATTTTTGTGCTTGGGGACCTTTCTCTTGTTTATGCTACGCCGACATTTACAAAAACATTCACTTAAAAACAGAACTTTTACCAAAGACTCAGTGAAACTGTATGCGTGAGGGTTACATATCACACGGCCATACATAGGACATTTGGACTAGTAATGTAAATCAGTACTCATAGCGTATCTACAGTTTGACCCAAAAACACGTTATTACGAACCTGAATCGAGCAGTTAGACTAGAGTCCACAGAAAGATGGAGAGTTTCCGTTTGTTGGGATGAAGAAGGCTTGGGTTCCCCAACTCAACCTGCAGAGATGAAAATTGAATTCAGAGTAAACACGAGACAGAATGAGATGAGTGTAGAGTAGAGTATATATATGTGATAGTGTGAACCAAGTATAATGTATAATTGAACTCAGATCATCATCTACACAAGACAAGAGCTTGCTTGTTTTTCTGGGAAAGGAAAAAGGAATTCCGTCTTCCTTTCCTTGTGATTGATAGGTACTAGAAGTAGGAGAATAAAGAATTGGCATGATTTATATTGGAACAGTAGCGATGGAAGTAGGTAAGGAATGAATCATAAACATTGGGTTTCTGCGTTGGGCAGCAAAGGGGAAGCAGGAAGAGGCCGGTCGCCCCCATCCTCAGAAACGCCTGCAACGGCGACGGGGGCGAGGCCGGCGCCGGTGTGGAAGGTGGACGGACGGAGATCGGCGGGGAGATAGATGCAGCGCGCGGATCCCCTTCCGAGTTCCGGCAGTGAGGCCGCCCGCCGGCGCCACCACACGCACACGGTGGCTGTGCTGTGCAACAGAAGGGCAGTAGAGGCGGGCACGGAGGGTGGGTGAGACAGGGAGCAAGGTCTCCGCCTCCCTTCCGGTCCGGGGCTTGGGTTTGCTGGGAGCGGAAAGGAAGAGCCTTTCCTTTCCTTGGGCCCTTCCATGGGCGGCGGCGGCGGCGGCGTTCCTTTTTCTCTTCTTCCTCCTCTTTTTCCCCCATTTCCGGCTCCCTTTAGATCCAATCCAATAAATCAGGGGATAGGAGTACATGGTTGCAGTGGTGGCTCCACTCATTCACCAAAGACATTCTATATAGTATTTGTGAACAACGAGAGAGAGAGAGAGAGATGTTGGTGTGGATACCTCGATATGGGATGGGAGTATGAGTAGATAATATCAACCGGGGAATCTGCCGGAGAGGAGCATGGCGAAGAGGAGGACGAGGATGTAGAGGAGGATGACGATGATCTTGGTGTTGAACAAGGCCAGCAAGAGCTTCACCACGAACACCAGCAGCAGCGCGTTGAACAGCAGCGTCAGCAGCTCCTCCATACCCGCCATCCCAATCCCATCATAAGCATATGCAGATGCATGTCCTTTCTTGCTGCGCTTGGATCGATCTTCTGATGTTCTGCTTCTGATCCACTCCACACCACCCACCGCAATCAAAGCATCCGGCACTACTGTATGTAGTAATCGCAGCTGCTGACAGCAACATATATCCACTACCTCCACGGCTCCACCTGTCTCCACTGCTCCGCTCTTGCTTCTAGTATTATTACTCCACTAGTATATATATTATATATATTATTATTACATACTACTATGTAATTCTTTCCCTAATCAATCAAAGCACAAGAAATATAATCAAGCAGCACATGGCATGGCATTGGGTACTAGACGTTCACATTAATCTCACTATCTCAGGATCGGAGACAAGTGAAGGACAAGCAGTGGCGGAGCCAGGAATTTGCGGCTGGGTATGCCACATGTATAAAATTTCGAAGCAAGACGATAAGTTATAATGACCAAAACAAATTCATAATAGTAACCAAAGTATAAGTTCAAAACATAAATAAATCACCATTGATTGGCATAGTTGGGACTTCACCATTAGGCTGGCACAAGTGCTAACGACATATCGCTTCATTACTCTCAATCTCGCAGAATGAGCATTTGGTGTGCCGTGATGCAAATATGTTAACACCCTTCTTCTTCATCTACATTACAAAATTAAGAATACAACCAAAGAATTAGAAAAATAAATTTTCATTAGCTCTTTGAACCAAGAGGAGTGGAAAGGCTCTGGGGTGTTCTGCATCTTCCTGCTCACCTTGCTTGAAGGCTGCTGCTTGCCGAGCCCGAGGCCGAGGGGGAAGGTGGAGCTTGCCGCTTGTGGCAGCTCTAGAGACTTGGGACAAAAAACACTAATAAACACGAATGAAGGAACTCTCCATGCTTTAATATGGGTCGTCCGGGTGTAGGAGAGAAACCATTTGATCTTTTTTTTTTATCACACACCTCGGCTGTATTGGGCTTCCTTCGTGGAAGCGTGAAATGGCCTTCTATTACGAGGGAAAGTAACAAGCTCGTATAACTATTAATCGTGTATATATACATATTAATTTTGTCTCCCAAATCTTGGGTATGCCTTGGCATACAGGGGCATACCCCTGCCGCCGCCCATGAGGACAAGGATGTCATGTATATGTGGCAAGCATGACTAAGCTATTACCATCCATGATCCATAGACCATAGGCTTGCTTTCCACTAGACAAAGCCGTAGTAGCTAGCGGCCGTGATAAGAAAAAGAAAAGGAAGGAAACAAGAAAAAAATGAAACACACGGGGAAAAAACTAGAAACCAAAAAAACACTAATAAACACGAATGAAGGAACTCTCCATGCTTTAATATTAGCGAAAGAAAACATTTGATTTTTTTTATCACACACCTCGGCTCTATGGCCTTTAATCAAAGATAGCTCAACTAAATCGTGAGCTACGGCAACGTTTACACGGCTAGGGAGGTCATCCGTCCATACTTGCACCTGGCCCGCATCCCATTCTCTAGGTAACTGAGCAGCCTCGTGCGCAGAGGAGTTACATGAACGGGGTACAAGCTTAAAAGCCGAAAGATTAAAACGCAAAAGAAGAAGCTGAAGTATAGCTTTGAAGACGGAAAAATAGAAGAAGCTAAATATTTTTGCATAATAAGAATTGCTCGGGCTCAAAGAAGCTTCTGGCTCCGCTAATGGCTGGGGCCGAGATCTCTAGAACAAGTTCTGATGGCTTCCTCCAATTGTGCTGAATCCGTCTCCAGCTCAATACGAGAGATACAGCAAGTTCCAGCGCCCTGAGGCATGCTGTTGCTTCAACCATTAGAGCATCATGCGCCTGTCCCATACATTTGATTTAAAACATAAGGTAGTTGGGTGGGAAAAAAAATATGTATATAAAATAGGAAAAGAAGAAAACCAAACGTAGGAGAGGCCCAAGCCCAACTTACACAATTATTGGGCCAAGGAATTCATTGGTGGGCTAAATGCTTGCTTGTGGTGTGGGCTGCCACGGGGCAATGAACATTCCAAGACCAAAGAGTCCTCGTCAGCGACGTACGTCTGTTTCTTTTCGATGGACATTATATATATATAGCAAGTACCGTACCGGGCGGCGTCGACGTACGGGTAGGTTGAGCCGAAGCCGATGGATCCGTCGAATCCAATCCAATCCTGTGATTGAAGCCAACAGACATGGCGGCGGCGTCGACGCTCAATGCGGCGTTCGTGCATGGCACGCACCTGTTCGACATCGCCCGCTACAGCGATCTCAAGGCGCTCGGCCGCAGAGACGGCGTCACGTCCGACACCTTCCGCGTCGCCGGCCGTGACTGGAACGTCGTCTGCGTCTTCGACGGCCGCCTAACCGACATCTCCCTCGAGCTGGCGGAGAAGGAGGACGGCGATGGCTATGTGGACTACCAAGACTCCGTCACGGCGATGGTGAGCTTCAGCATCGACGACCCCACCGGCGGCCGCAAGCCCATGAAGATCGGAAGCAGAGACGAGGACGAGGGCACGGTCTTCATCTTCACCCACAACTCCCGCTCCTACACGGTCGACGTTCCAGAGGCGATCCACAATAAGCTGGAGGCGCGCTACGTCAAGGACGACCGGCTGCGGATCCGCTGCGCCTTCCGCGTCCTCAAGGTGGAGTCAGCCCCGACCAGGTACTGCTTCGTCACCGCGCCACCGCCGCCGGACATCACCCGGTTCCTGAGGGTCCTGCTGGACAGCGGGCAGCGTGCGGACGTGACGTTCGCCGTGGAGAGGAGCTGCCCGTTCGACGCGCACCGGCTGGTGCTCGCCATGCGCTCGCCGGTGTCCAGGGCCAAGTTCTTCGGGGACAGCAGGGACAGCAGCCTCGAGTGGTTCAGGGTCCACGACGTGAGCGACCCCCGTGTTCAGGGCCATGCTCCACTTCATCTACACGGACGAGCTGCCCCCGGCGGACGAAGAGGACGGCGGCGAGGAGGCGGCCGCCGCCTCCATGTTCATGGCGCAGGACCTGCTGGTGGCTGCGGATCTCTACGGCCTGGACAGGCTGCGGCTCATGTGCGAGAGGACGCTGTGGGAGCGCGTTCGAACGGGCGGCGTCGGGAGCGCGATCTCGATGCTGGCGCTGGTGAACGGCCGCGACTACTGCCGCGAGCTCCAGGACCTGTGCATCGGCTACGTCGCCGACGACTGGGAGGCCGCGACGGCGACGGAGGAGTACCGGGAGCTCAAGACCACCTGCCCCGCTCTCCTCAGCGACGTTCTCGAGGACGTCATAACGAAGCAGCTGCTGCATGGTCGGCGCCCGCCGAGCCCGTCATCAGGCATCGCCGCCACGACGACGCCGACGGAGACGAGCGCGTCGGTGTACAGGCCGTCGGAAGTGTGAAGAGGCAGGCACCAGTTCACCGTCCTGGGCCACAGCGCCGTGCGCAGGACCCACGGCAACGGCGAGTTCATCTGTTCCGGCGCCTTCGAGGTGGGCGGCTACGAGTGACGCATCCTGTACCGTCGGGATACGACGACGAACACGACGGGCACGAAGCCGTCTTGCTGCAGCTGCAGGTGGCGATGACTCCCATGGATCCCGATGTCGTCTTGGAGGCGTCGGGGAGCATCGCCATCGGTGATGGCAGCAGCTCCGTCGCCGAGTCCGAGGGTCCATGGCCGATTTCTGCCACAGGTACACCAACGACGAGCCAGCCGAAGGATGTAGAAACCTGACCATCTCATGTCTCGTGGGTCCCGACGACAGCCTCACGGTGGAGTGCAGCTTCGAGTTCCAGGTGGTGGCCAACAAGACGACGACGACCGCCGCACGCGCACGCCAGCTGTCCCAGGAGCAGGACATGGTGGTGCCGCCGCCCAGCATCTCCTGGCACCTCGAGCGGCTGCTGGAGACCGGCGTGGGGTCGGACGTCACCTTCTCCGTGGAGGACGGCGAGTTCCACGCGCACACGCTGGTGGTCAACGAGCGGGCGCCGGCCCTACTGTCGAAGACATGGGCGGAGGTGGTGAAGAGCAAGAAGGGCAAGAAGAAGAAGGACAGGAAGATGATGATATGGATCGAGGGCATCAAGGCCGTCGTCTTCAAGGCCCTGCTCCACTTCGTCTACACGGACGAGCTGCCGCCGATGGACGACCTAGTGCGCGCGCCGCCGGAGCCGGTAAGCCGTCGTCGTCGAGCAGCATGACGCGGTTGGCCGGCGATCTGCTGTCGGCCGCGGAGCGGTACCAGCTGGTGGAGAGGATGCTGCCCCTGTGCGAGAACCTGCTGTGCGAGGCGATCATGCCGGAGAACGCCGCGGGCACGCTGGAGCTGGCGAGGCGCCACGGCCGCCCCGAGCTCCGGGCTTTCTGCCTCGACTACATGACGTCGCCGGGCGTGTTCAAGGCGGTGGTGGCCAGCGAGGGCTACCAGGCTCTCCCCGCCGACGCTCTCCGGGACATCATCACCCAAGTAGCACATTAGAACTAGCTAGCCGCTTCAATTCCCAGCCCTCTTCCTATTCCTACTGTACAACATAGGCTAGCTTCAATTCTTTCCTATTCAAGTAGTAATTGTTTTGATCATAAATATAATATAATTAATTATCAACGAAGAGAAATTAATTAATCAATAATCGAGTTTGCTTGGCTTTTAACTAACTCGATGGATCCAATACTGCCAGCCAAGAGCTGCCGCCGAAACGCACGCTTGGTCTGCCGGCACGTAGCAGCAGCATCACCCATAACGTGTCGGGTCGAGCACCCATCAGGTGACTACTACTCTTCATCATGCATCACACTAGCGAGCTAGGCACTTCAGTTTCTTCATCATTGCTCTGCACAGTTGCATTAATTGCATCGGATCGATGATCCAAACCATGGCGGACCGTGGCCACGGCAAGCAGCGCGCCGCCGCCGCTGCCGCTCTCCTGGCGCTCGCCGGCCTCCTCCTCGTTCTCGCTGGCCTGACGCTGTTTGCTTCCCTCGCCGGCCTCGCCGCCGCGGTGCCTCCGCTGCTGCTCCTGAGCCCCGTGCTCGTCCCCGCGGCGCTGCTGGCTTGGCTGCTCGCGACGGGCGCCGTCGCGTCGGCTGCGCTGGCCCTCGGAGCCCTGTCCATCCTGTTGCGCCTGGTGCGCAAGGCCGCAACAAGCCCGAGAGATGACGACGGCGGCGACTGCGACTGCGTTGACAAGGGGAAGCGGCGCGTCGGGGAGCTGGCGGCGGTGGCCGGCGACAGGACGCCGCACGCGGCGCTGGCGCACCGGCCACAAGAAGGCCAAAGACTACAAACACTACGTCGCCGGACGGATGGTACAGGACGACTCATGAACCTACCACAACTCCATCTACTGGTAGTACAGTGTAACCCCTTTGAGTTGTAATTGTAATCTTACACCGGTGAGTGTGATGTGTACTTCTATTTTGAATTGAGAACGTAATAAACTTCTATTTTGCCGTGGTACCTCAAATAACCGTGAGTTATTCATTTATTTCGATCAGATCGGATGGACGGTTACGATCATCTATCTTTTTCTAGATTTGATTGACACCTGCTAACCTCAATGATTTGCATGTGTGTGTGCATGCGTGAGGTGAGAGCCTGAGTGGATAATGATGTGTGCATGCACGAGGCCGTGAGTGGATTCAGATCAAATACGTGTGAAATTGAATTTAGATAGAACTATTTACCCTATTTTAGTTCAAATTTCAATACCGACATGGATAGTTCGAATTTATATTTACATTCTAATATCAACTTGATTTTGAAGACAACAAATACAATATCCATTTGCTTCATTGATTATTTTAGTAGAACAAACAATTGTGCAAGTAGAGATTTAAAATATGAGTGTAAAAGATTTTGAAACATATTTTGAAACCTGTCAAACTGGCCGGTCATTCCAATGATGGACCCAAGAAATTTTGCGCTGCTGCCAGTACGAGAGAAGAATCGGGAGGCTTGTTTTCACAGAGAAAGGAGGAATCCCTGCCATCTTTACTCCCGTCAGTTATGGGAACCGGGAGGAATTTTATTTGTTTTCCTAAATTTTAATTTAGTAATCAATTCATAAAAATTTTAAAAAATGAATGGCTTAAATTTATTTGAGATATTTTTCTAGGTAAAGGGGTACCTTAGCATTGCCAGTTGCCTTCTCGTTCTATAATGCAACGCACAGGAATGGATGGATGATGAGTGGCGAGGCTATCCAAGAATGAAGAGTGAACGTTTTGGAATACATGACTACTAATTTTAGAGTGTCATTTACCTAGTCTCTTGGAGATGATTTTTTTCCTAATACTAGCTATTTAGCTTTGCAAAATAATTTAGCTAATCTCTTGAAGATGCTCTAACGAGACAAAGTCTCTCCTATCCGTGTAGTACCCGATGATACCCTGTACCAGCCACACGACAAGAAGAAAGGTACTCGCTCTGTCCCAAAATATAAGTCGTTCTCGTTTCTCGAGATGTCAGCTTTTTTAACTTTACCAATTATATATAAAAGAATATTGATATTTATAATATATAATTAGTATTAGATAGTTGAATATACTTTCTTAATAAACTTATTTGGAGATATAAATGTTGCACATATTTTCTACAAACTAAGTCAAAGTTGAGAAAGTTTAAACTTCACGTAAACAACCTCTATTATAGTACGGAGAGAGTAACTGTGAAAGAGGTCTGCGAAGGTGGGGCTTGCAAATGTTGGTGCGGCGTCTCACTGCAGCAGCACAAGGAGCTGGGCGCGGGGCGCCCTGCAGATGATGCTAGAACCCAACCTTAACCTCCTGCTCAGACACGAGACACTGATGTTTTGAAGGTGATGACAATCTCGCCCCAGCTAAACAGAGCTTCTACAAAAACTGTGGGGAGAGCAGCGGAGGACGCTAGCCACCTTGTCTTCTCCTGTAACGACGTCGCTCAGTCCTTGTGGGCGCATCTTGGTTGCAATTTTTAGAAACTAAACCAGCAAACATACGGCTTGTTCGTTGGTTGGTTTCTGGGCTAGTTTGGGTTGGCTGGTGCTGGTTTATTGTGAGAGAAAAACACTGTTGGCTGGCTGGTTTGGGCTCGCTGAAACCAACAAGCGAACATGCTGTAATACAGCTTTTAATGCAAAGCCTGGTCAAGAACCTGGCACCAAGCACTTGTTTGTTGGTAACAATCTTTCTTAAAAAATGATTTTTTTTTTCATTTTAGTTTTCCTAATATTTATAGGGCGGTAGTTATTTTCTTCTTGAAGAAATAATCGTATGATGAACAATAATGTCTATGGTTCCAAATATACTAGCTCTTCAAGTGATTTAAGGCATCAAGAGGCTAATAGTTAACTGCTAATAATTAACTTTTTGATCTAAACAAAATCTACCTAATAGTTTAGCTAGTTGTTATTAGCTAAATACCCAACTAACATCTATTTTATTCTTTGGACCAAACTATAGATAGCTAATAGCAGCTGCTAATATTAGTTGTGACGCCTTAACAGGAGAATCCGGTTTTTAAGGTATGTTTGACCTTCCTATTTTTTAAAAAAAATGAAGAAAAATATCTGAGTTCGTGTTTGGCCCGGCCGGTGTCTTGCGGCTTCTGCCAAAAAGCCGATCTCCCTTTGCAATTTGTGCAGGACAAAGAAGGAAGAGAAATAAAAGTCGTAAATAAACTTGGTTGTCCTTGAAGGTCACATACAGCACGCACGTACTGCTATATATACACACACGTACATACAGATATACCAAACGTCTAAGTAGCTAGTCCTTGGTCTTGAGGTTGCCTCTGACGCAGGACTTGACCAAGCTCTTGAGCCCCTTCTTCTTCTTCCTGCTGCTTGGATCGTGCACCTTCTCCTTCCTGGTGTCGTGGCCATAGCCGCCGACCATCGCTCTCGCCTGGTGGCTAGCTTTGTCCTCTCCTGCTGGTGTGATCTCCATGTCCTCCTCCATCTGCAACAAACAAGGAAGCACATGTATATATATGAAGTAGCTGCGATAGATAGAGATGGATGAATTGAAGACGACGACTGATGATGAATGAAAAAAGAGAGAGGACATAACCCAACGACCTTGAGCACTCGGGATTCGAGGAAGGCTATGCGGTCGATGAGGCTTCCCTTGTTCTGGGCCTCCTCCAGCACCTCCGTGGCCGGCCGCGGGCGCCGCCAGGTCTTGCTCCCCCGTGGCGTGCTGGCGGCGGAAGAGTCGTCGTCGTCACTACTGACGAGCCCGCGATGGCCGCCGCCGCCGGCGGCCGCAGGGGTGGAGGGCGAGGATGCCGTGGTAGCACTAGGAGGACTAGCGTTGCCGTGGCCGTTGCGGTGCATCTCCTCCAGGTAGCCCAGCAGCAGGTCCAGCCGGTCCACCCGCGCCATCATGCTCGCCGCCGCCGGCTGCCGCGCAACCGTTGCCGCCATATATGTATCGCTGCTGTGTGCTGATGATCGTCCGATCGACGACGACGACGACCGTAACACTACTGCTCGAGTGATAGAGGTTTCGACCGATATTCCTACGAGCTAGTCGTACGACGACCGGGCCGGCATGCGATCCAGTGCTATATATAATACTCCGTACAAGTAAAAGCGAACGTGTCGGCCAGCGCCGACGTGGCAGGGTCCGGAGGCGCTCTGCGTGGCGCGTGCCCATGGAGCCCAACTGCATGCTCTCACTCCATCAGCCACCTCGTCGATCGTCCCGATAAGGCGATAAGCTCAATTTGGCAGCCATGCACATATGGTACGGTCGGTAGCGTCTAGAAGGACGGACGGACGGACGGACAAGCACAAGCCGGGACAACATTTTTTTTTTCGAGGACAACAAACTATACTTCTTCCTCTGCCAAAGAAAGAATAGTCTTGTGCTTGCTGAAAAGTCCAGCAGTTCAAAATTTAACTAGATTTATTTATATAAAGTAATATCAATGTCAATTATAATTATTTTTATACAACTGATTTAATAATAATTATCATGTATCATAACTATTAATATTATTCTATAAAAGTAATCAGATTTGGAATCGTTTAACTTCTTAGAAAACGAGATTTCTGTTTTATTGGACGCAGGGAGTCCTGTGTTACGGTATACTCCCTGAATTTATCCGGTAATATAGTTTATGCTAAATATTTGAACACAGATTAAGACAGAATAAAAAACGTATGTGCCCTCGCTTTGTTTCTTAATCAAATGTTATAATCAACATGATTGATAAAGATTGGTTAATAAATGGCAAGTAACGATATAATACCTATCAATTTATACAACTATTTAACGCAAAACTGATTGATTGGTTTCTCGCATAAGGTCACGAGTGAACGCCTTTGTGAAATAACATTTTCTCGTATCTATTCAGTATACATTTATTTAGCTAGGTCACGAGTACGATGCATGTTAATTTGAGAAGTTAAATGGAAGGGTGTGGCTAGAGCCCGGATGTTCAAACGCTGGCCCACAGTTCGAATGCCCGTGCCGCTGCCCCCGTCTCGTGTCCCGCGCCTGCCCGCCCACAAGTACGTGGGGCCGCCGCGCCAGTGGGGACCGTTTACGCTTTCTCGCGCCTGACACCGGGGCGAGACAGCAGAAATGCGAGGAGGGAGATGTAACACTTGGTCTGGTTTTAAAACATCCAGATGTAATAATTACAACATACGTCTGAAAGCAAATAAAGCATTTGAAATATGCGTCTGAAACACTTGCAAAAACACATGAAAAGCACTTGAAACCATTGTAAACATACGCAATATCCAGATAAAAACACTTTGCATCATATGTGTGAAAACATATGCAACATCCAGATAAACACACTTGCAATATACGTCGAAAAAAAGAATGAAACTTTGAGGACAGGAGCTTGCAATATATGTGTACAACCATTGCAACATATGCAACATCCCGATCTACTTTTGCAATATTCGTATGAAACACTTGCAACATACCTTTACAACATTTGAAACACTTGAAATAGACGCTTGCAGTATGCGTTTTTCACCCTTCTTCCGTACGACGCAGCGCAGAGCCAGGGAAGGCCGGTTCCAGCTAGCCAGCAGCCGAGGATGGAGGCGTAGCCTGGCAGCGACTAGTTGCGCCCGTGCCTGGCCTGGGCCTGGCCAACGACGCCCTCCTCTGCTGGAAGCCTGGCCTAGGCGCGGCGAAGGACGGAGCACGACGGTGGCGCTGCACTCGCCGAGCACGCGCATGGAACTTGGAGGCGGAGGGCGAGGCGCCGGCGATCGGGTCCGGAGGCAGCTGCAGTTGGTGGGGGCGGCTGACAGTGTACCTCACGCGAAGAATTCCTCCTCTCCGTGGGAGACGGAGGTGCCGCGGGGATTGGGCGCGCCGTGGGGGATGGCGGCGACGGTGCGGGATGGAGACGGAAGCACAGCGGATTGGGACGGTCGGACGGCCGCACGGCGCCGTGAAGCCGCGACGCATGAGCACGGAGTGGGGAAGACGAGCTTCCGTAGGAATTTAATTTTTTTTAGGCAAGCAGTGCATGCGACAATGAGTGGAGCACGCAGTTCCGAACATCTTAATGGTAGTATTACCCTAAACAACGGACGTCTTAATGGTAACGTTAACCTAAACAAAATGAAACACGCCCTAGTGAATCGGAGGCCACTGTCTCATGAGCTGCCCTATGTACGAGGTAAGTACGTACAGCTAGCCGATCAAATCAACAAACATGACTGTTTGGGCTTATCAGTCATGGTATCTGTTTTTCTCTCACAATAAATTAGCCAACGGTACTTTTTAGCCTGACTTTTCAACGAAGCAAACAGGACAAAATACTAAATTTGGCGATGTAGGGTCGTCCCAACACAACCGGCATGGCTAGACTGGCCAATTGATTTACTAATTTATACATATAGCTTGTTTGCTGGTTGGTTTCTGAGCTGATAAGTTCGACTGGTGTTGGTTTGTTGTGAGAGAAAAACATTGTATCATATCCGATAAGCTCTGGCTAAATCCAACGAACGAAAATGCTGATAAACGGTTAGGTTAAAGGACTTGTTTTCTTGTACGCAACGTCGATTCATTATTCTCGTCTCGACATTGCCTTTCTCGTCTCGCTTTCCGCTTCCCAATTCCCCACACGGCGTGAAGAGTCAAAGATGCAGCGGTTTTCACCATGTGCTTCTTAAATTGACTTTGGTTTCCTTTTTCAGATAATACTCCGTCCATCCCAAATTATATATCATTTTTAATTTTCTTAAGAGTTAAAGTATCTTAAATTTGATCAAATTTATATTTATATAATAAATAATAGTATTTAATGGTACCAAATAAGTATCATTAGATTTTTTATTAATTATATTTTTTTATAATAGTATGCCTAATTTTTTTTCTCAAATCGCAAAAGTCTTACACATCGCCATGGCGGGTTAAAATTTTACAATGAGCGTATACCTATTTGATATCATAAATCTTTGTAATTCTCTATATAATTTGATCAAACTTTAGAAATCGTTACGTGAAAACGGACTTCTCGTTCATTCATTCTCACGGTAGAAACCGCGGACAGTTGACGTGATTATTGGTGATTCTTGCAGCTGGGGACCCATAATTTGATCATTAGCGTACTCACACAGGGTCATATTATGGCTAGATGCATAAAAATTCAATGTATTTGTTCCAAAAAAATCAATGTATTTAAAAATTCAAAATGATTTATAATTTAGAATGGATGAGGTATATATCTCGAAAAGTAAGACGAGCTGTAATGTAGAACGTGAAATGCTTATCTTAGACGGAGCAGAGGGAGTACTCCTACATGGTAGCTGAGCAGAGTCGTGTGGCAACAGAACAGAGCGGAGCACGCCATATGTGAAATGTCAACACAAGAGGATTACAGGAGGCAAGGCCCAGATCCCAGGAATCAAAATCAGCAGTGCAGTATACGTAGAAAGAATGAAGGATTGATGCTCTGAAACCCAATGCGCATATAAGCATTGAAGAAGGAAAGGAGATTTTGTTTATTACTGCTGTCGCTGCATCTGATCATATTTACAGACAAGTAGATAAATGGATTGCTGATCTGATCATATCATAGTCTGAAAGTCTGATAGATAGATAAATGGATTTAGGTGCTACTAGCAGCTACTGCGAAATACTAGTAAAACAACTAGTGGAGTGGAGGGGAGAGTATTTACAGACAGCGAGAAGGGATTGGAATGGAAGCATGTATGAGATGACGAGCCAGTCCAGTCCATGGTAAATGCAGTGCAGATGACATTGATTCACATGTGGTGGTCATCTTCGTCATCGCTGGGATCGTCGTCGTCAGCAGAGTTTGTTACGCGAGCGTGGTGGTTGTGGCCACGGTCAGCATGAGCATGAGCAGCAGCAGCAGCAGCAGCAGCAGCAGCAGCACGAGCGGCGAGGGCGGTGGACCTGTCGAGGATGAACTTGCCTTCCTTGTACCTCTGGCCCTTGTCGAAGGCGACGAGGTATTTCCAGCCGAGGATGGCACCGCAGGCGACGCAGAAGATGTCGCAGACGGTGTGCAGACCCGTCGTCATCATCCGGTCGTCCTTGCTACCAACATTCACATTCACGCTGCATGTATATATATATATATATTTAATAGGAAAAAGAAAAAGAAGAATGCAACGCAAGACGGCCAAGTCAAGTTACATCCTGTTGAAGAGGTAGGCCTTGCCGTTCTTGCACCGGAACGTCTGATGCGATGCATCCAATCCAATCCAACAGAAGAATGCCAATCAAATGAGTGCAAGGGACAGGGGAGAAGAAACAATAAATAAATACTAAATAAACAAACAAATAAATAAATAAAACAGAAGCAACCAACACCCTTACCCTTGCGATGATGTCGGTGTCGTATGCGAGGTGGGTGTCGCAGTGCTTGCAGCGGTAGATGATGGCGCCCGTCGCTGGGAGGCTCGCCAGCAACAGCCGACCCATGGACCCCCGATCCGATGGATGCCCTGTACCAACTAACCAATTCGATCGGTGGATCTCGACGGCGGCCGCCCTACCCCTATCTGTAGCACACACCTGCAATCCAATCGATGGATGGATGGATCGATCGCAGGCGCAGGCCAACCAACGGGTCGATCCCGGCGGGCGATGGGACACTGGCGGCGGGAGACGGCCTGGGCGCCGCTGGAGTCTGGACGGGAGGGAAAAGGGGAAGAGCCAGCCCAAGAAGGGGAGGAGGGAGAAGGGGATGGGGGTGGGGGTGGGGAAAGAAAAGAAAAGAAAAGAAAAACCGCTACCCTGCCCGGTCCGCTGCCCGCCCTGCCGCGTTGGAATCGCAATCGGAATTGGAATTGGAATTGGAATTGGAATCGGAATCGGAATCGGAATCGGAAGGAGTCGTGTGCTTTCCTGTCCTGGCTTTCTTGTCAGGTGTCCTTGCCCTGCTTATGCCACGCCTACCCACGGCCACGGATAAAGACAGACGTTCGTCTCGTGCTGGCCGCTCTCTTCCCTTCCCTTCCTTGCGCCCTCCCTCCTGCAAATACGGAACCTCCACCCCCCCCGGTCCTTACCATAGCGCATTCAAGTATATTTATTCAAATTATTTTTTATTATTATACTCTATACAAGTGACTCTAGAGATTAAAAATCACTTTTGCATTAAACATTTTTCTTTAATCAACCAATCACTATTAATCATAATATTGTCGATGATGGCATCTGATTAGAAAATAAAGTGAGGGCACATACATCTTCTGTATTCTCTATCAATCAATCTTAAAATTTCTAGAATACACTATATTACACGACAGATGGAGTAGCTATATTAGTTATATAAGGTATATGATTTGACTATTGGATCATAGATATATGGATATATGTTCAATACTAAATATCTAGACTTGCATATGAACTGTTCGAACTCCTCTAAGGCTTTGTTGGGTTTGGTGGAAATTGAAAGGGGATAAAAGAGATGGAGGGGATTTGCTCGTTTAATTCTCTCCAGTCCTCTTAGATTGGAGATTAACCCAACAATACCAACTCAGATATATAGACAGCATACCCTCTCATCCTTGCTTTCCCTCTGCTAACTGCTCAGTATGTGGGCTTCTTCCAATGGAAATAACTACCTTGCCCCAGCCTAGTCCAACAACAAATACTGGTTAGGCTCTCAGTATGGGCCACAACGAACTGGACTGCCCTGACCTACTACCGATACTCCCTCCATCCTTAAAACAAAAGAGTCAACTAATTCCAAAGCATACTAATATTCATGATGCATAATAAGTATCACTAAACTAACCATGAAGTACTTTTTCATCATATTAAATCTATTTAAAGATACAAATATTGATATTATTTTCAATAAATCTAGTTAAGTTTAAGACACTTTGACCATCAGTATTTTTCCTACGAAAACAAGTTTACATACTTCTAATGTTATCCAATTACATTATTACATGCATGAATCATGCATCATCCATAAAACCCTGTTATATGTAACGATATGTTAAGCAACCACATGGTCAAAAGTGCTACCGTTGAAACGCAAATGCTCTAGTGAGAACGTTCGTCCGCCTGAACGCTTTTGTCGGTGGGTTGCTACGCCGACCCGAACGGTCCAACAGGTGTGCTCCACTGTGCTTGCTTTTTCTCCCTGCTTCAGTCGTTGTTTACGAACAGAACCAACTCTATCGCCAAGGTATCCGCACCGTCGTGGCGCGCGCTCGACCGCCCACCGGCGACCATCCTCCACTGCACCCGAGCGTCACCGCCTGCCTTCCTCCCTCTACACCACGATTCCATTCTCCGTCGCGCCCGCCCAGCTGCTTCCGTGTTGCCGGCGAGCTCTATGCCTCCGTGCCGCCAATGAGCTCTGTACTAGCGACCTCCGCGCCACTCCGTGCCTCAAGGTTCGCGTCGACATCGAGCTCTGCTCTAACAAGCTTCCATTCGTCCAAGCAACAAGTATATGTTGTCGCTGAAAGTGTATCTTTCAAGTGTTTCAGACGTATGTTCCAAGAGTTTTCATCCGGATGTTGCATATTATCGATGTTTTTGGACCACCGCGAGTAAATTTGTATTTGCGCGTCTGGCTCGGATGGTGTGCTCGGAGGACACAAGGGTTTATATTGGTTCGGGCGGAACATCCCTACGTCCAGTTCGCCGCTGCTCGTGTTACCGGCACTTGGTTTGCAGTAGGGGTTACAAACAGACGAGAGAGGGAAATGATCCCAAGTCTCTAGTGGAAGGAGTGAACGGGTGCTGAGAGCTCGATTGTTGCTCAGCCGTGTGCTCATGTCGTGCTCTTGTGTTTTGCTCCCCCAGCGTGGGGCGCCCTGCGTCCCCTTTTATAGGCGAAGGGAAAGCATGTGTTACAGAGGAGGAAAAGGAGAAGAACGAGAGAGAGAAAAGAAGGCTTCCAGGGTTGCCGGGTCCTTCCTCTTCTTCACGCGGGTCTCGCTGATCCTATAGATGTCAACAGAGATGGCTCCATGTCACGGCCCTGTTCGTCACTGGCACCATGCGCAGGCGTCATCTGCCGGTCATGGCATTCGACTCCGTCCCGGCGGACGTCGTGGTGAACTGACGCGCCTGTCAACGTCCGTACGAGGATTAGGCAGAACAGCACCGACACGTTCGACACTGTTCTTGATCCTTGATCCTTCCTCGACCTCGCAACCATGGGTCAGCGGCGAGATGGAAATCGCATCCCCCGAGGTCAGGAAGAAGCCGAGCCCGCATCCTCAAGGGTGGGGGCGAGAGCAGAGCCCGATCCCGCAGGTCGGGCAAAGCGGATCCCGGCCTTGAGGCGAGGCAGAGCAGATGCATGGCCTTGGGGTCGGGCGAGACCTTTTAATACGTCTCGAGCCATCCAGCGAAGTCAGCATGGGTGCTAACTTCCTTGCTTTGTGTATCCCTAATATCGATACCCGACACATATGTTGCAAGCGTATGTTTTAAGTGTTCCATGTGTTTGAGACGTATGTTGTAAGTGTTTCATCTGGATGTTACAACTAGTGGGTGTTGCATTTGCTACTATGGCTATACACGCATGTTTCAAGCGTATGTTTCAAGTGTTTCAGGTGTAAGACGTATGTTGCAAGTGTATGCTATAAATGTTTTAGATGTTTTGGATGTGTGTTGCAAGTGTTTCATCAGGATGTTGCAAAATAAGTAGATATGGTCTTGCACATGTTGCAATGACGCTGGTGGCTGGTGGATGGGGGCACCACGGGACTTGGTGTGGACCTTGATGAAGGAGCAGCCATCCTAGGAAGTGAAGAAGGTAGTGCAGTGGAGATGGGGCGCGGCGCTGCACGGCGCAGCAGGGCTTGGGGAGAGGGGGTGGCACTGCACAGCGTGGTAGGTGCCTGCGGAGGGGGTGCGGCAGGGGCTTACGGAGGGAGCGCGTCTGAGATGGAAGCGCGGTGGCGAATGGGGCCACAGTGGAGATAGGTCGTGGGTGGGGGCGCGCACGTGCATGCGAGTGCTTTTTTTTACGGTTTATGCCCATAGCATACGGATGCTGGGCCTGATTGGTTTGCAACCATAATTTGCCATGACATGGATTTGGCAAGCCAAAGTTAGATAAAAATTTTGCCATGGATTTGGCAAGCTAAATGTGAGAGGTTGGTATGTTTTGATAGCAAACCAAGCAATAACCAAAATCATGACTTACTAAATTCTTGACATGGTAAATTTTGACCGCTAATCAATCAGACCCGCCGTTTCTGAGCTGCATCTGGACACACCCTAGCGCCGGACGTCCTGGCGCTTTTCGATGAGCCGTTCAAAAGACAAGGACAAGTAAACCTAAGGAGATGGAAATATTAAAACTTTTTTTGTGAATTGCTTGCCTTTCATAAATCAGCCGGCCGAAGCCTCAACCATGATCAAGTCATACACACATGCTGGAGTAACACCCCACACCTCCGAGCAATGTGAACTAGAAACCTGACGAGCTAACAAATGTGCAACCTTATTAGAACTTCTACTAATAAAAGAGAAAGAAAACTCTTGAAAGGCAAGGCTAATTTCCTCCATCTCCTCCAGAATAGGATCAATGATGGATCTTTGTGACTCCTTCTTCCACAATTGCACAACCTAGAGACAGTCAGTTTCCAAGGCCACCCGACGTAAACCCATCTGTGCAGCAAGCTTCATGCCATCCCTGCACGCCAAGGCCTCCATGGAGCAAACATCAAGACCACGCTCATACCAGATTGCTTGTGCCGAATAGAACGCGCCTTGATCATCTCTGATAATGGACGAGGTTGCTCCTTGCTTGCTTTCTTTAGAGAACGCAGCATCCGTATTAATCTTCGACCATCCCACCTCCAGCTTTCTCCATTTATCCCTATTGTATCTTTCGGAGCTGGTTTGTCAAATTGGTGGCTCAATTGCCATAAATCATAAGTGTATCTTTGGCCCAGATCACCTTTTCACGAACCGCAGCATAGTCGACTCTCCATGGCGTCGCCGGTTCCTCAAAGATCCAGAGCGCCCACATTCCAATCATAATCGAGCACGATCTCGTCTTGGGCAAAGCTGTGACATCAAATCGCAGACCACGTCTCAAAGATTCGAGCTTGGTAATTTGACCCTGTTGCCCATATTGTATATTGCCGTAATCGCGCCTCGCCCATCGCAGATACCCAAGAGTACATGCTCGATCGATTCTTCTCGCTCCCCACAGACCTCACAGAAGGCCTCCAGTTCTATGTGCCTTCTGAATAAAATTTGCTTCGTCGGTAGGAATTCGTGCAAAACACGCCACTAGAACACTCTAACTTTGGGAGGGACCTCCCGCTTCCAAATTTTTTCCATATAGCATCATCAGAAGAGCTAGGTAAATGGCCAAAGGATTCTTCCCATTTCCTCCTGTATATAATCTTGTATGCCGAGCGGATGTAATAAATCCCGTAACGCTCTGGTTCCCACGCCTAAAAATCACCATCTCTCGACCGGTAATTCGTCGT